ATCGCGCTGTCACTGCAGCCCCGTTGTTGGTGTCGCCTCGTAGTGCCGCAATTGATGCCTTCAGGCACTGGCGTGATGCTGCCGCCCCTGGAGGAGCGGCGTCGCGGCCGAGCGCCTCCGCGCATACTGGTCCGATGTTCAAAAGGACGGCCTCTCGACGGTTTCTTCTTCTCGTGTCGTCAATTGCTCTTGGTACAGTCTAGGTGCTGATAACGTGTTATAGAGTGAAAGTAAAAGAGACACATGAAGAGTCCAAAAAATCCACTTGTTCCATTGCAACGTGGGAGACCCACTTATATACATGATGAAGGGGTGTGTTGGGGAGACACCTCTTCCCCAACAGACACCTCCTGTGAGGCATCCCTCCCATACAATTGATCACATATTTTTATTTCTCAATAATTTTGAAGGACAAGATAGGGGGTGGGTCTTTTGCTTGATTTTCCTATTTTATGTCTTTTATTCGTTGAGAGTGGTGCATTGAAGCGAACAAGTGTACCACCATGATTGCCACGTATCGCTAATTGAAATTCATGTGAGCGCTAACACACCCGGCATCCCTCAGAAAACGGGGAAAATCAGTTCCATATAAGGTTTCTGGAAAATATTTATATGGTGCCGCAATACGTGGCGTGGACTTATGAGGGTTGATAAAAAAACTTTTTTTTTGCGGTTGATAAAAAAACTTGACGTGGACCCGTCATGGTACGCTTGACGGCTTGAGGTCGCGTGAACGCCGGTATATATAGTCGGACAAGCTGACGCGGTGAGCTTATCAACATGGAGGAACCCAAGAAGCTGGGGAAGGAAGGGCAGTGGTAGGTGACCATTCCGTTCGTCCGTGCCGGCGGCCGTGACATCGAAAAACTAATCTAACGCTGATAATCAACCATGGTAAAATACTTCATACTTGGACTCGGCCTCCGGGTGTGTGCGCGACTTTGCCGGGCGTACGCTCTGCACGTTCAAACCGCCCGGGAGAATGAGATCACGCGTATCATATGACTGACCTCTATCCTCCATAAATCATTGGTGGTTGTTTTTTAAGGTAACCAAGGCATGTCTGGTGGAATAACATAACACATGCAGGTGGGGCACCGAGACTGGCTGGCAGTGTAAACAGCAAGCTCAACAAAAAAAAAGCTACTACACGTTTTCATTGCCCACAGTCTCAAGAAAGAAAATTAAAGAAAGAAAGAAAGAAAAATAGGACGAGAGCTGATCCCCACCCACAGGTCAAAACCACCATTCATTACGGGAGAAACTTTCTTCACTGGTACGTAGTACTACGTGCAGCCTTTTTCCACGGCGTAATGCCTGATGGCGTACCGAGCTAGCTAGCTAAGCAACAACGCAACATGCAGGTCGTGCGGCGGAGCAAGCCAACGATCGAATTGATTCGCACAGCGACGGGCCGGCCGGGACTGGGACGGAATTTGGCCCTACTCCCGTTCGCGTACACACGGCCGGGGAGGCTCCGACCGAGCCCTGGCCGATCGATCGATCACTACGGACGTACGTATACCGTAGCTTACAGCGCCAGCGAGCCGTCGTCGTCGTCGGCCACGGGCGCCGGCGCCACGACGGCGCGCGCGGGGGTGACGAGGCAAACGGCGGCGACGTCGACGCGACGCGGCCGTGGGATTATGTCACGGGGAAACCGGGTCGCCTCAGTACTGAGCGCCGAGGTCGCGCGGGAAACGCTAATATAATCCTGGGGCGCGCGTGCCGGATCCGGTCCACGAACGTACGTACGTCCCGACCACGACCTCGTCGGCGCCCACTGGCTAGCTAGCTGGAACGAGCGCGGTTTCGCCGCGGGGATTAATGACGAGTAGTTCTGTACCACGCTAGCTGCTGCGGCCGGAACGAACCTGCTGCCCCCGCCGGTTTCCCGGCCTTTGACCACCGCACACGCCATTCCACCAGTGCCTGCGCGGTGCGCCGTCACATCGCGACCCCGCAGGCTTATTTTACTCCGTCACCAACCAGCCTCCTCCTCCCGTGCCCGGCCAACGCCCCTCGTATATAACCAGGACCAGTACACCGTACATGGGACAAGGCTGAAAAGGCAAACATCCATCGAGCTGATCAACCAAGAATCTATAGCTAGCTAGCGCGTCCAGGTCTCGGCAGAAGCAGGCGATGGAGAGGAAGCCGAAGAAGCACGCGAGGACCAGGAGCGGCGCCCTGGCGTCCTTCCTCAGGTCCACGGCGGCCTCCTTCTCCTCCTCCACGGCCACCACCTTCGGCTCCCGCCCCGCCGGCGGCGGCAAGGCGTCCTTCAACCACCGCAACGCCTTCTCCGGCCCCATGGTCTCCATCGTGCCGCCCGAGGCGCGCGGCGGCGGCAGGAGGCGGGGCGGTAGTAAGCAGGGGGACGGCAGCGGGTACCGGACGCCGGAGGCCTCGTCGCCCAAGGTGTCGTGCATCGGGCAGATCAAGCGGAGCAAGTCCAAGACCAGCAAGGCCAGGAAGGCGGCAAAGAACGTCGCCCCCGCGGCGGCCTGCGGGATGGACGGCGGTGCCTGCCCGATGCCGCCGCGGCCGCCGGCCCACAGCAGGCCGAAGAGGTCGCTCGTCAGGCGGATGTTCTCCCGACGGAGCAGGTCTCGGCCTTCGTCCTCCTCGTCGTCCCACAAGTCGAGCGGCGCTGCCGATCTTTTCAAGGGGAGGCCGGGGAGCAGCGCCGCCGTGGCTGCTGCGCCGGTGTCGGGGCCGGGGATGGCAGGGCTGGGACAGATGAAGCGGTTCACGAGCGGGCGCGGGGCGTTCCAGGACTTCGACTGGAGGGAGGCCGAGAGGAGGGGGTCCGACGTCGACGTGGACGACGATTACGCGGACGACGGGTTCGTGGCGTTCTCGGCGCCACTGGTGCTCGGCGGCGGGGTGGTGGCGTCGGAGCCCAGGAAGGAGGTGAACCTGTGGCGGCGCCGCCCCATGTCCCCTCCCACTCCGCTGGAGCTCCCCTGAGAGCGGTCGCCGCAGCAGCTAGCAGCAGCTAGCAGGCCTGCATGCGCGCATGCAGGCCATGCCAAACGTGTCGATCGTCTGTTCTTTCATCCCTAGAGTTTGTACAGTAGTGGTATACTTCTACGTGATGCTCATACAAAGTAGGTAGTATCGATTTGATTTTGTAAACGCGTGATGATCCCTATTCTGGAAGGAATTGAAGAAGTTTTTTTTTTAAAAAATCAGCAGGAGTGAAAGCATAATTTTGCAAAGTCGACGAACGAGCATAATTTCGCACACACGCATCCTTGCTTGCTTTGGTTGGTCGAACAAGCTTGCGAGCGTCGGCGGCGAGCATATCCTCTCCAAAGAGAGGCTTGGTCGTTGTCCTCTTTTCCAAGATGAGAAACATATTTTATACGCTAGCTACACTTCAGCCTCCGATTTTGAGAAGGATTTTGACATAATTAATGGTTCGATCGGTGTCATGGTCGAAACAGTCGTCATAATGGACAAGAACATAAGCAAGTAACTTACACATATTTCTAGACTATGTTACTACCTCCATAGTGGGTAGAAACATCTATGTAGTGTCATGCAACGATGTATTTATTAGGTTATAGACTCATTGTTTTTTGAAGTGTGTGATGTTCCGGTAACTTAGCTAGTTACCACAAGCACCTCTCTCTTTATTAAATATGTGCCACATAAGCAAAGTTGTATTGGAGTGTGTGATGTTACTCCCAAGTTCCTCCCCATTGTGACCAGCCTCAAGACGATGGCGCCTTCCGTCCATACCATGGGCCCGATCGATCATCATGTCATGTTCACAGCAGTTTTGTGTCGATGCACGTTTCGTCTAGAAAACTAAAAAACCCCGGTTAATTATGAGCGTGGAGTGTTTTCGGTCTCAGAATTTTGGTCAACACAAGTTACCACTGTAGACTTGGATGTCGGCCAGACCATCATATGTTAGCCGAACGCGGGACTGACTCTCGTTAATGGACATACTACTATTCAAATGATCTAGCTAATGATCTTCACATGGGCCATATGGCACATGTGCTAAGCAATCCAAACTGTTCGAGAAAAATGGTCATATATATGCACCCAGTTGATCAAGACAACATGCATTATATTGTTGATTCGTGAGGTGTTTTACACGTGAGAAACTAGCATGGTTCTTTTTTTCAGTCTATTCATCTTCAATCATGGTACGACAACGAACACCATAAATAATAAAAATTACATTCAAAACCGTATTCCCTGATAAAGTTGTCTTGAGCAGTGCGGGAGATCGACCGGAGAATGGATCGAGTAGACTCCCTTAGGGCCGATTAAATCACACACGAGGAACTTTTCTTTCTTCCGCCCTTTTTGATTTGAAGGGTATGTTCTAAAAAAAGAAAGGCAGATGTAAATACTTCGAAGAGGCGGATCGGTAGGGATGGAATGGTCAATCATCAAGTCAAGGATGACTTCTATGTTGGCGAAACGATGGGGGAGAGAGAGCACGCCAGTGATTCTCCGAGTCAGTCTTCATTTCCAATGCCTTAGAAAACAGGTCGAGATAGATGACAACACCTTTTTTGTCCTCTTCCTTACCGGGAAAGCGCACTTCTCTTCTTCTTCTAGCCTTCACCTCCTGGGCCCGGAAATAGAACCCAACCCCCTTTCTAATCATTTCATTTATGGAAGCAGGCGGGATCCAGAGCTAAGCCCCCTCCTATTTGAAGCCGGGTGTGGCCTCGCCCTTTTGCTCTCATTCGGTTTGGATCCACGAAGGCGCCGCCTAGACTAGGAGCGCCACTCATATTCAAAAGACGCCCAGCTTTCAAGACGACGATAATCATTAGTAAACTTTTTCCAGTATCATGGAATAGCATGGCCCAGGGCTAAGGTAACTCAAGTGGGAGAGTTGTGCTACGGGTGAACTTATTGCACAGTTCAGAGAGCACTTGTGTATGTGATGCAAGTGAACGTGTACGAAAAAGCTCTCATAAAGTTTCGTTGTTTGTCCCATCGTTGGCCCTATCTATGTTTCTATGATGGCCCAAGAACACGCTCATTCTTCAGCCATAGAGAGACTTTTGAATTGTGAGGTACCTTTACAAGCTCAATATATAAGAGAGTTATTCTATGAAATAACTCAAATTTCAAATCATTCACTTGTTTCAACTACTCATGCTATGGACGTGGGAGCATCAACTCTGTTCCTTTGGGCTTTTGAGGAGTGGGAGAAATTGTTGAAATTTTATGAAAGAGTCCCGGGAGCTAGTATGCATGCCAGTTTCATACGACCTAGTGGAGTGGCACAAGATCCGCCTCTTGGCTTATGTCGAGATATTAATTCCTCCACACAACAATTTTCTTCTTGCATCGATGAATTGGAAGAGATGTCAACCGACAACCGTATCTGGAAACAACGATTAATGGATATTGGTACCGTCACTGCGCAGCAAGCAAAGGATTGGGGATTCAGTGGTGTAATGTTAAGAGGTCGCGCGACATGAAGATACTGATAGCCATATGGGGGAGTTCCCTTCAGGAAACAAAGGTTCAGCCTAACCCTACAAAAGCATGCATATGTTGTCAGTGAAGATTTGTGTGAAGCCTTAGAGACGACATGCCCGGGGCTAGGGTCAGCTGAAGGGGACAGCGTAACGGAGCGAATGTGTGTAAGCCACGTCAAAGTTTCCTATTCTAGGCGGGGTGGGCCATCAACCTTCAAATGTTGTTGGTCCTACGGGCTGTGAATGGATTCGTCTCTGGCTTCTGGGCACGTCAAAACTGCATGAGTTCATCGGGGTCACTAGTAGAAAAAGGGTCTAATGTTCAGCACATTAGTGCCGGTTCAAACGGCTAGGCGGGCGTCGATCATTAGTATCGGTTCATGGAGAACCTTTAGTACCGGTTCATGCCACGAACCGGTACTAAAGAGGCTGTGGCAGGCTGTTGTCAGGCTGGGGCCCATCTAGCACAGATAGCACCGGTTCATGCCACAAACCGGTGCTAAAGTTATTTAGTTGCAGCGGTTTTTTAGTCCCACCTCGCTCGACTAACAATGTTATTACCACCTTAAATATGTTACTTCTCAAACTATCACAACCACTTGGTCTTCAGTGAACTCTATGTGTAGGATTTGTGGCTGCAATAGGAGTCTTAGCCGGTTCTTAAACCAGGGTAAATTTCTATTGACAATTTAGATTCTACACAAAAAGATCATTGATGATCAATGTATTTTTTATGTATATTTTTATATTTACATGGACGAAAACTCATCAGTTACGCCGGTCATAAACTTTCAATCCTTTCTGACATCATTTGCTATTTTCATGCATTTACAGATTTGTTTTGAGCTAAATGACCCTGAAATTGAAAAGCACTACAAATGAACTCTGAAAAGGTTGAAACTTGGCATGGTATCATCATTTTCACCCACATAGCATGTGCGAAAAAGTAGAGAGGGTTACGGCAAAAACTGGATGCACCTCGTGTACAAACTGGACAATCTCTTTCGAAGTATCAGGGTTTCAGATGAAAACTCATCTGTTACATCGACACTTTATTTTTTTAAACTTATTACAACTCCAGACTTTTTTGCGTTCAATATGAACCATTCAAAGCCACGTCATAAACTTTTAACCCTTTCTGACATCATTTGCTATTTTTCATGCATTTACAAATTTGTTTTGAGCTCAATGACCCTGAAATTGAAAAGCACTATAAATGAACTCTGAAAAGGTTGGAACTTGGCATGGTATCATCATTTCACCCACATAGCATGTGCGAAAAAGTAGAGAGGGTTACGGCAAAAATTGGATGCACTTCGTGTATAAACTGGACAATCTCTTTCGAAGTATCAGGGTTTTGGACGAAAACTCATCTGTTACACCAGCACTTCATTTTTTAAAACTTACTACAACTCCAGACTTTCTCTGCGTTCAGTATGCAACATTCAAAGCCACGTCATAAACTTTCAACCCTTTTTGACATCATTTTCTATTTTTCATGCATTTACAAATTTGTTTTGAGCTAAATGACCCTGAAATTGAAAAGCGCTACAAATGAACTCTAAAAAGGTTGGAACTTGGCATGGTATCATCATTTCACCCACATAGCATGTGCGAAAAAGTAGAGAGGGTTATGGCAAAAACTGGATGAACCTCGTGTATAAACTGGACAATCTCTTTTGAAGTATGAGGGTTTCGGACGAAAACTCATCTGTTACACCAACACTTCATTTTTTAAACTTATTACAATTCCAAGTTTTTTTTGCGTTCAGGATGCACCATTCAAAGACACGTCATAAACTTTCAACCCTTTCTGACATCATTTGCTATTTTTCATGCATTTACAGATTTGTTTTGAGCTAAATGACCCTAAAATTGAAAAGCACTACAAATGAACTCTGAAAAGGTTGGAACTTGGCATGGTATCATCATTTCACCCACATAGCATGTGCCAAAAATTAGAGAGGGTTACGGCAAAAACTGGATGCACCTCGTGTACAAACTGGACAATCTCTTAAGTATCACGGTTTCGAACGAAAACTCATCTATTACACCGGCACTTCATTTTTTTAAACTTATTACAACTCCATACTTTTTTTGCATTCAAAATGCACCATTCAAAGTCATGTCATAAACTTTCAACGCTTTCTGACATCATTTGCTATTTTTCATCCATTTACAGATTTGTTTTGAGCTAAATGACCCTGAAATTGAAAAGCACTACAAATGAACTCTGAAAAGGTTGGAACTTGGCATGGTATCATCATTTCACCCACATAGCATGTGCGAAAAAGTAGAGAGGTTTACGGCAAAAACTGGATGCACCTCGTGTACAAACTGGACAATCTCTTTCGAAGTATCAGGGTTTCGGACGAAAACTCATCTGTTACAACAACAAGCGTTGGAGGATTTTAGCGCCAAATAGGACAAAGCTAATAAGCTTGCTAAGATTATTGCCAGCATGGTGGATACCCTGGATAACGTTTCTTGAGCTCTTCTGAAGTTGTTTTAGTTATGCTCTTGTGTTGCTGCCGCGTTTATTTGCACTGGTGGCCAATTTTGACGGCCAATGTATGTAATATGCTGCTTTGTTCCCTATATTTGCACTGGTGGCGAATTTTGATGCCCAGTGGATGTAATATGTGTAATAGCGGTAATAGGCTAACATTAATTGCTTGCTTATTTATTTCCTTATTATCTTGTTTAGTTGTTTGCTTGTAGTCACTGCAGTTCTTTTTCTGTGTTTTTTTAGTGGCCACAATAGCCTATTTTTGGTAACTAGGCCTAAATAATCATGGCAACACATGGACTGTTGTAACCATGGGCCTCCTACGGGCTGTATGATCCATGGGCCTTCTACGGGCCATAGGATCCATTGGCCTTCTACACGGGCCGTAGGATCCATGGGCCTTCTACGGGCCGTAGGATCCATGGGCCTTCTACGGGCCGTACGATCCATGGGCCTTTTACCGGCCGTACGATCCATGGGCCTTATACGGGCCGTAGGATCCATGGGCCTTCTACGGGGCGTATCATCATTTCGCCAATCATGGGCCGTACTATTTATGGACCATAACGGGCCGTTAATAGGTCGTATTTGATAACTCTATGAAAACAGCCCAACGGGTATTTTTGACATGAAAACGGCCCAACGTATTAACGGGCCACAAACGGGCTGACTGTAACGACAGGCTCATTTGGCCCACAAGCAGAAAATGATAGTAACGGGCCGTAAGTAACCGAATGCTGGAAATGAGCCCAAGAATAAATGGGCCCTGAGAAGGCCGAAAGATAACATGGGCTGGAAACGGCCCAATGGAATAATGAGCCGTTAATGGGTATAAAGTGATACACTGTTCATTACGGGTCAGTTTCACCATGGACCATTAATGGGTCGAGAGTTACAAAGGGCCTAATATGGGCCGAAAGAAGTCATGGGCCATACATGTGCCAGAAGTTAAAACGGGCTGGAATCATATTAGACGGCCCACATAACGCTACTGGGCCTAATTCAAAGAGGTCGTAACGGGCCCTGGGTTAGCGGGCTGTAAATGGGCTATATGCAAATAGGTCGTTAACAGGCTTTCCATGGGCCGATCCGCCACCTTTTAACCAAGTCAAACGGGTCGGCCTTTTCACAGGAATGGGCCTTTGTTGGGCCGTGCCACGTGTCGACGTATCATAGGCGCTTTGGATCCAATGAGTGGATGACATCTGTCTCAACGGTGAGCCGACACGTGTTTCCTCCAGCCAATGATGATTTTACACGAGCAAAATCCCCATTGGTCGGGGTTGTTAACGGGTTATCGGATCCAAAACCGGACCCGATAACTTAACGGTGTTCCGTTACGGTGGATGCCACTTGTCGGTCACCCTTGACGAAAGCATTTCTATGATGCGCGATTTATCATCATGGAAGTGGACACTTCCGTGATGATAATTTTGGTAATGTCATGGAACACTTCTACGACAGCACAGGTATGACTATCTTGATTCTGTCATAAAATCGTCATGGATGTACATGCATGACAGAAAACGCGACCTACTGTGACAAACACGTATCATCACGGAAGTGTATTTTTTTATAGTGAAAGGAGACCTTAATATCCCTTAGTTTCCAATAGGACCCCGCTGCCACGGGAGGGTAGGACAAAAGATGGCATGCAAGTTCTTATTATAAGCACGCATGACTAGATACATAATACATGCCTACATTACATTGATGAACTGAAGATAGTTCTGTGTCGCCCTAGGTTATAACTGTTACATGACGAATATCACCCAACATAATTATCCATCACCAATCCAATGCCCACGAGCTTTTCACATATTGATCGTTGCTAAGTTATTACTGCTATTGATGATGTTACAATCACTACAAAAACTGCTACTGCTACTGTTATCGTTACTACTACTTTTGTTACCACTACTATCAAAGTATCATACTATTGTGCTACTGATCACTTTGCTGCAGATATTTAGTCTCCAGGTGTGGTTGAATTGACAACTCAACTGCTAATACTTGCAAATATTGTTTGGCTCCCCTTGTGTCGAATCAATAAATTTGGGTTGAATACTCTACCCTCGAAAATTGTTGCAATCCCCTATACTTGTGGGTTATCACGGCTCCGCAAGTGTCTCTCACCCTTGAGAAAAAAACTCCTCAACCATCACAATATAGAGAAGTATGACACTATGTGTCTGACTCTATTGGCCATAGTTCCTTGCTGTTGCGGCTGGTGCTCGTTTGCGCATGTCTGAACCACCAGATCATAACGAAAAATGCCTTCCGGAGCATCGGAGAATGATTCCGGCCGTATGAAGGGACACTCCCACGTATAGTTTTTTTGGGGGGAGCCCGGTGGTGTCCCCCCACTAACTTGGCCCAGGCCTAGGTGCGTAAAAGTGAAGCGATGGGCCTACCCATCCTAACCTGGGGTATGCTGGGATTCGCAAAGAGGAGCACCTTATGATGTTCATGACCAATCAGATCTTGACGT